TTGTTTCATTTTTTTTTTGTTTTATCCTCCTTTCCTCTCCTCTTCTACTTCTCCTCCTCATTTCTTCTTGTCCTTTTCCTTTTTAATATTTCTTTTATGTATTTCCCTCAACTCTCTCTTTGTTTTCTTTATTTCTCTCTTTATATATTTCTCTCTCCCCATGCGCCCCTGAACTTGTTTATCCCTGGGGTTGATTATCCACGGAAAATGAGGCACATGAGCTCCTACACGAGCACAAAAAAAAACAAACCAAAAAAACATAAAATCATAAAGCGTTTGTACATTAAATAAAATAGATTTGGAACTTGAAATGTTTGCTTGTCCTCTTCCTCTCCTCTTCTACTTCTCCTCTTGAATTTTTCTTCTCCTCTTCATTTTCATTCTTTCTTCTCTCTCTTTTTTTTTCTATCCCTCTGTCTCTCTCCCCCCATGCCCCCCTGAACTTGTTTATCCCTGGGGTTGATTCTCCATGGAAAATCTGATAGGTATTTTTTTATTATTTCCTCTCTGTCTTTTTTCTCTCTCTCTCTCTCTCTGTTTCTCTATCTCTCTCTCCTCTTGCTCCTCTCCTGTCTTCTCCTTTCCTCTCCTCCTCTCCTTCCTCTCTTGCTTTTCATTATCTCCTCTTCTTCTCTCTCTCTCTCTCTCTCTTTCTCAATTTTCATGAAGCGTTTCTAAATAAAATCTGATGGATTTAAAACTTGAAATTGTTGCTGTTCCTCCTCCTCCTCTATCTGTCTTTCTTTCTATATATCTTCTCTTCTTCTTATTATTATTCTTATTATTCTTCTTCTTTATTATAAGTTTTTTTGTTTTTTTTTATTTTTATTTTTCTGCGAAATGTGTTATATCTTTCTTATTTTAAAACATATTTCTTTTTTATCTTCTTTTTTTTCCTTATCTCTCTCTCTCTCAGCACAACCCCCCAGCACAACCCTCCAGCACAACCCTCCAGCACAACCCTCCAGCACAACCGTGCAGCACAACCCCTCAGCACAACCTCTTGAGGTTTATTATCGTCGGCAGTTTTTTATCATCGGCAGTGGTCGATAGCAACTCCTGAGCTCTCCGGGAACACGGCGGCACGCAAATGATACGCATTTTTTGAAAACCTTCATTTTGAAAAGAAATATATTTTATTTAATCGCGAATTCCATTGAAATCTTTTCGAATTTGCGAAATCGAGCCGTCAGGCGCTTGAATGCCGCACTGCGTTCGAGATTTAGGCGAAAGCGTGTGCGACGCAATTTTCTCATGACACGCATTTTTTTGAAAAACCTTATTTTGACAAAATACTATATTTGGTTGCGAATTCCATTGAAATCCTTTCGAAATTGCGAATTCGAACCCGCACGCGCCTGAATGCTACACTGCGTTCGATATTCGGGCAAAAGCGCGTGCGACGCAAATTTCTCATAAATGCGTCGCGTGCTTAAATCTCGAACGCAATGTGGCATTCAAGCGCCTGACGGCTCGATTTCGCAATTTTGAAAGGATTACAATGGAATTCGCAATTAAAAACATCTTTTTTTTCAAAATGAAATTTTTCAAAAAATGCGTATCATTTGCGTGCCGCCGTCTTCCGGGAGAGCTCAGGAGTTGCGATTGACCACTGCCGATGATAAAAAACTGCCGACGATAATAAACCTCAGCCGATGATAAAAAACTGCCGACGATAATAAACTTCAGAGGAGCGCACGGCGGGAGAGAGAGAGAGAGAGAGTCTCACCTCTCTCTCTCTCTCCCTCCCTCCCTCTCTCCTCTTTCTCTCACTATCTCTCTCTGCTCAAGGTGAGCTGCTGAAGCAGAGCTGCTCAAGCAGATGGCTGCTCAGAGAGCAGAACCAGACAATGAAACCTTCGAGAATAAAAAACACAATTATTTCGAGGATGCCTCAAGCGAAATAAGCAATAGTTTGACGGTGTCTCAAGCGAAATAAGCAATAGTTTCAGGATGTCTCAAGCGAAATACGCAATAGTTTCAGGATGTTCAGGCGAAATCAGCAATAGTTTGATGATGTTTCAAGCGAAAACACAATTATTTCGAGGATGTCTCAAGCGAAATAAGCAATAGTTTGACGGTGTCTCAAGCGAAATATTTTGTGGATGTCTCAAGCGAAACAAGGGATTTGTCGAGGATGTCTCCAGCGAGATAAGCCATTGTTGAGGATATTTTAATGAAGACTAAACGCCAAGGATGTCTCAAAACGTGCTCGGTTTGGTCTCCTCTTGATCATCTCTTACTTCGAGATTATGCTGAGGTCTGGTGGGCTACTTTGATTATCTCCCCCTGAACCCCGAACTTTATTATCCCCTAGTGTTTATTATCGTGAGCATGGGGTTAAAGACACACAGATGAAAATATCCCCCGTATTTTCTTATATTTTCTGGGTTTTTGTCTTCCCCCCCACTTCCCATATTTTCCCATATTTTCTGGGAATCGCCAATTAATTGTGACTGTGTGTTTTTTCCCCTCCTGAACAAACATAGTCAAGGGGGCAGCCGCCGGGAGGTCTTCGCAGGGGGAGGTCTAAAGAAGCTTCGACTCCTGCGGGGGCCGCTGCGCCGGGTTCGGCCGCGGAGGCAGCGGGATGAAGCCATCAAGCGGCGATACATCTCGGGAGCGGCCAAGAGGGGGGTGTCCAAGGGGGGGGGGTGCAAATCATGACCGGCGGCATGTGCGCGGCCCAGCGGGGGGGCCAGGGACGTGATGAGAGAAGAAGAAGAGGCGCCATGACATCTGGGGAAAAATCATGGCCCCCGCTAGTCATCAACCCCCTCTTTTCTGCCCCCGAACATCGGACCAAGCCAGACTAAGCGGGTTGAAACCGGATCAAGCCGGAGTTCGGACCAGGGCAACGTCAGCACTTCACCTCAACATGGTATTGTGCAACTGCGAGAGGGGGCGAGTGGGAAGGAGGAGGGGGGAGCCGCGGGAGGCGGGGAAGGGTGAAGGGGAGCACACTGAGGATCAGACGGAAGAGTAACGGCAGGGAAGAAAAGAGAAGAAAGGGCGGCCGTTGACCTTCGAATGGTAAAAAAGCCGCCGATCCCCAACATCGAAAGTATACGTGATGCCGTATATGTAAGTTGTCTTATACAACTGTAGCCGAGGTATGGAAAAAGAGAGGGTGGAGACTCCAAGATATGGAAAGAGAGAGGGCGGAGACTTAACATAACCGAAACTGTCCACAACGATTTGAAGGGATCGCGCTGCGCTGGCTGGCACGGGCACAACGCTACTGGACATCAGCAAAAAACAAGATCTACCCTGAGCTCCAAACCGTGGAATGCACAAGTTATCTGGCAGACGTACGACATGATACGCATGTGTTACTTTTGTTATGTTCGCTGTATCAGGAAGCAGGTACTTCCGCAGGACGTTGGAATTATCGACGCCTGTGACTGAGATTAACACACATGTAATCAGAACGCTGGGAACAACATGGGCCCGCCATAAACCAGGAAGATCCAAGGGTTACGAGTTAAACAGAGGAAAGAGAAATATGCACATACACCGATTCTGGCCAGGCCCACCCTGAGCCCAGGATCGGTGCGTACGCCCGCTACCTTGGCCAGGAAGGTATATGCACCGATCCTGGGTCAAGGACGGGCCTTGCCAGGATCGGTGCATGTGTATAGTTCTCTTCGCCCGATTTAATAATTGGGCCGACCCTGGGCGGAAAACAAACTCAAGTAAGACAAGGAGGGGGATATGTGTCCCGAGGGGCAACGACAGGGGGGGACTGGCATAGGGGGGGATGCATCGACCTGGAACCGGCGATACATCGCCGATAGATCGGCGATAGGCCTCCGATAGTGAATCCGCACCTTCCTGGGCAGGTTGGGGCTATCGGGCCCCTATCGGCGATCCATGGGCGATTGGGTGTCGATGTATCCCCCCCTGTGCCCATACCCCCCTATCGTTGCCCCTGACTCCATCCATCCACCCCTTCCTTCCCGCCAGGCCGCTCGGCTCTCTCTGGATCAAGCGAGGATCCCAGCGGCCGCGCGCCACATGAGAAAAAAACAGCGCCAGCGCCTGGACACCCTCGTCCATGGCGATGGCCTCAACTTCGACTTGTGAATTTGCCTCTTCCCTCCTTCCCTCCCTCCCTCCCTCCTTCCTCCTTCCCTCCCTCAATGGGCGATTGGGGGTCGATGCATCCCCCCCCATTGAAAGGGAACTGGGACACACAAATAAATACACACAAATAACCAGATTCCCCATACTTTCCCATATCTTCTGGGTTTTCGCTTCTCCTCCCCCTTCCCATACTTTCCCATACTTCCTGGGGAATCGACGATTCATTGTGTCTGCGTGCTTTTTGTCCCCTCCTGACCTGTGCCTATTCCCCCCAAACTCAAGACATACTCCAAGATTGTCAACAAATACTGAAAAATAGTCCCCCGACTATTTTCTTAACTACTCTTGAATACTCCTCCTGTAGAGGGACAGGCCCGACCTATCGCTGCCCCCGACAGATATATCGCTGGCAGCAGGGCGACCCCCGGCGGGCCTGCACGTGCCGGATGAGCACCGGCCTGCCGGCGGGGACCTCCTCGCCCTGGCGCGGGGGGCACGGGCGCGCCGCTCGCAGAGGCAGGTCGGTCGCTGCTCCTCGCCGACAACGCCTCCAGCTCGTCGAAGCCTTGGAGGACCAGGGCAAGCAGGAGGAGGAGGAGGGGGAGGAGGAGGAGGGGGAGGGGGAGGAGGAGGAGGAGGAGGAGGAGGAGGAGGAGGAGGAGGAGGAGGAGATCGCCACTGGGGACCAATGTCCCTTCCCCTCTGCACTACTGGCGGGCCGCAGGAGGGCACGAGCCTCCGCGCCATCAAATAGTGCTTGCACTGCGCCCAACGGCGCCCAGGAACAGCCCCCAGGGGACGCGCAGTTATCTTCGCACCACGCGCAGCCCAGCCCAGGGGCAAAGGGGTCCACGGCTTCGCAGCCCGCGACCGCGCCCCTCGCGCTGGCCGAGGACTCACGTGGCACCCCAGACCTTCACCTTGAAGTTGTCCTCCCACTCCTTGAGCTTCCGAGAGAACTCCGCGAGTGCGAGGCCGCTTTTGACCAGCTCTTCCATCTTGATGGACTTGTGCTGGTCCCTCCAGTCGAGGAACTTCTCGTACAGCTCCTCGTTCGAGACGCCAGCGAAGACCGACGCCCTCTGCAGCTCCCACTCGTGCTTGGCTTTGCGAAGGCCCAGGTCATCCTCGCCCTCGGTGTCTCCGTTGCTGATGTCGGCGACCAGCACTTTCCCCTCGGTGGCCGTGCCGCTGGGGACGAGGTCGATGTCCTCCAGCGTCTCCTCCCCGATCTGCCCCGCCACAGGCTTCGGCAAGTACTGCGTGTCGTCCACTTCGTCCAGCGCGCCCCCGTAGCTCATGACCGACACCATCCCCTTAGTGTCTATGGTCTTGCAGTCGGAGGCGCACTTGACATGCTCCTCCAGCGCCATGCCGATCTCCGACGAGCTCACGGTCTCGCTCGCCAGATCCGTCATGTCGTCCACCGTCTCCGACAGGTCTGCTTCCTCGGGCCGCGGCCCCCACCCCTCCCCACCGGCGCCGCCCTTGACCTTGTGCTCGCTGGGGGGGGCGGGGCCCGCATCGGCGCCCCTGTAGCACTGCGACCCGTCAACCTTGAGGCTCTCCTTGGCCTTGCGGCCGCCGCGCTGCCTCCGCTTGGCCTCGCGGCCCGTCTGCGGGAGGTCATCTGCGCCGCAGCCCATGTCTACGTGTAGGCCGGCGTTGCGCATGGCCGTCATGTCCCCGCTGATCTCGGCCTCCCCTGTGGGTCCCGCCTTAACCAGCTCCGTGAGGGCTGGCTCCACCATGGCCAGCCTGGCTGCGACCTCCTGCTGGACGCCGTCGACGCCGTCGCAGGATGTCCGGATAGCGGCAGACACCATCGCCGCCGCCGAGGAGGAGGAGGAGGAGGAGGAGGAGGAGGAGGGGGAGGAGGAGGAGGAGGAGGAGGAGGAGGAGGAGGAGGAGGGGGAGGAGGGGGAGGAGGGGAGGAGAGGAGGAGGAGGCGAGTAGGAGGAGGAGGAGGAGGAGGAGGAGGCGGACTGCAAAAGACTCCATACTCCTGTTCGGGAGCCATCCGCGCACCTCAATGTAGCACACGAGGGCCCTCAGATCTCCAGGAAGCCTCAAGAGCACCCCGAGTGCAACCAAGAGCACCCCAGAGAGCTCCAAGAGAGCTTCAAGCAAGTCCCAAGAGGCGTCCAGGAGCATCCTCATACGGGCCCCAAGCGCAACCCAGAGGCACCATCGATGACTCTAAGAGGGCGAAAAGTTGCATCTGAGATGCCACTGGGAATCGCTTAGGGGGAGGGGCAGGGGGAGGGGCATCAGGGGGAGCGGCAGAAGAAAGGTGTGGAGGAGGAGTGGGAAGGTGCCGAGCAGACGGACAAAGGAGGAAGAGGAATGCAAGGATGCTGGAGGCGACTATCAGGAGAGAGGAGGAATGCGAGGGGGGAGGAGGAGGAGGAGGAGGAGGAGGAGGAGGAGGAGGAGGAGAGGAGGAGGAGGAGGAGGAGGAGGAGGGAGAAGGAGGAGAAGGAGAGGAGAGGAACAGGCGGAGAGAGGAAGAGGAAAGAGGAGGCGGAAGGCAAAAGAGGAGGAGGAGGAGGAGGAAGGAGGGAGGACGGAGGAGGGAGGAGGGGGAGGGAGGAAGGGGACTGGAGGAGGGAGGAGGGATGAGGGAGGAGGGAGGAGGGAGAAGAGGAGGAGGAGGAGCAGGACCAGTGCAAATCCAATAGTCACCAACGATGTTGGAATATGCCCTCCCCCCAAGGTCCCTCTTCATAGGCCCCTACAACGATTCATTTCCACAGACGGATCAGCCTCGTGGGAACTGTCCCGTATGAAGACCCTGAAGCATGCCAAAACATTATTCTCGGTATCCCAAGGCCACGGGTACACTGGACCGTTGCGTCTCGACGATCCCGAATCGTGCCAGAACACAATTCCTGGGACTTCAACACCGCGAATCATCGTAACCGTTGCGCCCTCATCATCGCGACTCCTTCCAAAACGCAATTCCTGGTACGTCGATCATGGGAATCCGTGAGACTCTTGCACATTGTTGTTTGAGAATGTGCGCGGCGCCAAGGCGAGAGCCACCTTTTCAAAAGAAGCCGCCCTCAATCCGTGAATCTCTTGCAACATTCTGAAACGGATGTGCGCGGCGCTAAGGCGAAAACCGCATTTTGAAAAGGAACCGCCCTCAATCCGCGAAGTTGTTGCAAATGTTGAAAACGAATGTGCGCGGCGCTAAGGCGAGCTCCACATTTTGAAAACGACCCGTCTCAAGCCGTGAAACTCTTGCACATATTGAAAACGAATGTGCGCGGCGCCAAGGCGAAAAACACATTTGGAAAACGACCCGCCCTCAATCCGTGAAGTTCTTGCAAAGTTGATGCGCGCGACGGTGAAGCGAAAACTTCATTTTGGAAACCACCCGCTCTCAATCCGTGAAGCTCTTGCAAAGTTTTGCAACGAATGCGCGCGGCGCTAAGGCGAGAGCCACATTTTGAAAACGACTCGCCCTCCAGTGGTTAACTGTTGCCGACGTTTAAGCTTCGAAGTCATAGATGGTGAGGAAGTCTCAGGCGAAACGCCCGGCCCGCCCTAAAAACTGGCCTCGGGGTGCGGCAGGGAGAAATTATGTATAAGGAGAAGGAATGGAGGCCGCGAGGGGTGGTAGGGAAGGGCAGCAGGAGTGAAACAAAAAGGGAAGGGGGAGGAAGGAAGGAGAGGCGGGCCTGGACCTCTCCATTTGTCGTCGTCGTCGTCCACCCTCCCATTTTCCCTCCCTCCCTCACTCCCTGCCTGCTTGTCTGCCTGCTTGTCTGCCTGCCTGCCTGCCTGCCTGCCTGCATGCATGCATGCCCGCCTGCCTGCCAGCCTGCCAGCCAGCCAGCCGGCCGGCCGGTCGGCCGGCCGGCCGGCCTGCCTGCCTGCCTGCCTGCCTGCCTGCCTGCCTGCCTGCCTTATCCCTCTCCCCCTCCCTCCCTCGCGCGGGCGCGGGCGCGGGCCCGCCCGCGGCCGGAGCGCTGCAGCGGGGAGCCGGCGCAACCCCCCCGCCCCAGGTGCGGCCCGCCGCTCGGCGGCGAGCCGCCCCCGAGGAGGAAGGGGCGCGCCGGCTGGGGCCTATTACTGGCTGGCTTGCCAGGGACCAGGGCGGCGAAGGAGAGCACGCGGCCGCCTGGCCTGCGGCCTGGGGCCTGCGGCCCCACCGCCAGGCGCCTCCGCGCGGGCTGCCGCCTGCAGCCGCGAGTTTCCGGCACCCGCCCAGCGCCCCAGCCAGCGTCCTGCGCGGCGCGCCCGCGCTCCCACTGCCGCCGCAGCTGGCGCCCCAGCAGCCCGTCTTGCGCCCCCGCGCCGCCTGGCGGCCCAGCAGCGCGGCGCCGCCCAGCGCCTCAGCGGCCCCCTCAGCGGCCCGCCACGGCCGCGGCCAGGGCCCGGCGGCGCTCAGCACCATCGCGGCCGTGCCACGCGCCACCGCGACACCAAGCGCTGCCGCACGTCGGCCAGCGCGGCCGCGCGGTCTGCGCCTGCGCAGGACACCCCGCAGTTCCGCGCCCATGCGGCCGCCAGCCTCGACGACGGCGGCGCAGAGACCAGGGCCAGGGTGGCAGGCGTGTTTCTCCCGCTTCCCGCTCTCGCGCCGCGAGGCCAGCCGTCGCGGTTCGCCGGCGGCTTTCAGGGCCCGCGAGCGCCAGGGCCTCGGCGACGCTCTCGTCGCAGCACACCCGCCCGCTGCGGTACGCCAGCACCACGTCGAGGACGGCATGTTGGATGCCCTCGTCCGCGCGCCGTCCCAGGTGGGGATGCACTTCTCGAAGCTGACCGCGTTCTGGCCGTAGCGCTCAACGAGCCACTCGCCCAGCGCGTCCCGCGTCCCTCCCTCCCTCCCCCCTTCCCCCCCTCCCTCCCTCCCTCCCTACCTCCCTCCCCCCCTCCCCCTCAAATAAAACAATACGAATACTAGTCTCTTCTCTCCCCTGGTAGCGTCTGGGGATTGTTCGGCCCCCCTCCGCGCACCTGCTTCTTACACACAGGATTCCTGGGAATCCCACCAGCCATTTGGGCGTGAGTGGTTTAGAGAGCCCGCTCTGTCCTCAACCCCCCTTCTTCCCCTTCGGGGAGGGGTTTACCCCTCCCCCTCCCCCCTCCCCCTGGCCCCCTGGGCCTGGAGAGGGCGCCCCGCGGGTCGTCAGGGGGGTC